GGGGGGATCTTGTGGCTGCCTACAACCTTATCAGGGGCCACCAACAGGGACTCAGGGAAAGTCTGTTCACCAGGGCCCCCCTTGGAGTCACCAGGAACAATGGCCACAAGCTGAGGGAGGATAGGTTTAGGTTAGATATTAGGAAGAACTACTTCACTGTAAGGGTGGCCAGAGCCTGGAATAGGCTTCCCAGAGAGGTGGTGCTCTCACTTTCCCTGGAAATCTTCAAGAGGAGACTGGATAGGCACCTGGCTGGGGTCTTATGACCCCTGCCACCCCCAGTGCTCCTTCCTGCCCATGGCAGGGGGTCGAACTAGATGATCTGTCTAGGTCCCTTCCGACTCATTGATTCTATGATTCTATGATTTTAGGATCACATTTAGTCATTGATGTCTACTGTCATGCCTAATAAGGTGAATAGAATCTGGTCCATTGTGTCTACACAAGGCCATGCCTTTTTAGGATAAGAGCACAGCATTCTGGGTTGAGATCCCATGATCCCGTGTTCTGCATTATGGGGGGGGGCGTTGCCTGAGGAGGGGGGTGGTAACTACTGGGAGTCATTACAGTTTTTAACTTGGTCTCAGGTTCCCTTTTGGATACTTATGTTATTTTACCTGTGGCCTTGGATGGGACTGAAATGGTAGTGTGTGGCTATGGCTTTGTTCTAGGCTACATTCAAGGTGTGACAGCAAAATGATATAGACATGGCCAAATACCAGTCTCTTAGAAATGTGTGCAGAAATTTCCCTCTGGAAATGCAGTAGTGGCATGTCCACATCAGTGTGGAATAGCATGTGGAGCCAGATTCATATTCAGAGAAATCATAGACAAGTAGGGCTGGAAGGGACTTTCATAGGTTAGCTAGTCCAACCCACTGTCTGAGGCAGGATCATACTTATCCGTACAATGCTATACAAATCCATAAACTAATCTCTTAGTAAAACTACTGTCAACCCTTATACAACACAAGACATAACACCATAACCTGCTGCAGGTAAAGCAAAGGGACCGACATCCTGCTTCTGTAGAAGGTTGTTAATATACTTTCAAGAAATCCCAGGTAGAGAGCCACACCCTGCACTACACAGGAAGGCAAAACCACTACAATCCATACCAATCTGCCCATGGGGTAGAATTCCTTCCTGGCCCCAAATACGCTGATTAGTCTGACCCTGAGCAGGGGGACAAGCCCCTTTAGCCAGGAGCCTCTGGCTTTAAGTTCCAGAAGAAGCATTGCTACACCTCAGTCAGATTCCCCATCCTTGGCAACACCCAATAACCAAGGCCTCTTAGGAAGGTTTTTTTTTTTTTAAATGGAGATGTAACAGAAAAGTGGGGGCAGAGGGGGAGCCTCTGAGGCCCATGTGGCAACCAGCAAAGCTCAGAAGCATGGAAAATACCCATAGTAGTACAAAAGCATACCCATACCTAGATCATCTCTGAGCAATAGCTACCCAACTTCTTGAACACCTCCAGTGATGAAGTGTTTACAACTGCCCTGGGTCATCTACTTCACTGCCTCACTGTTCTAACAGTGAAGAAGTCTTTCCTGATATCCAATCTAAATTTACTTTGCTGCAACTTCAAGCCATTGCATTTAAATAGAACTTTGGTGGAATTTACCCACCCAAGTTGCTACAAGAAAACACCAATATCCCAACTCCAACATCCATAAAACTCATTTGGCACCTGTAGTTTGAGCTGCAAAATTCTCTTATTCCTTATGCTTTGGTTTCCAGGCAAGCACGGAAGGATCCTACTCTGAATACTCAGAGTAGCTTCCTGCTAATCTTCACAACGTTCCAAGTAGAAGGTGGTTTGATGACCCAGCTCAAGTCATTGGAAGAGCTGAATCTGACATGCATACAGAAATCACTCTTAACACACATCAACACCAATGAGTTGAACACAAAGCATAGCAACGAGTCCCACTTTCACTCAAAAATATGGCTTCTGGCAATGCTGGCAACTTTTTCCATCATTGGCGTGGTGTAAGACACATGAAGTGGGAGATCTTTCTTAGCATGAGGAAGTTCAAATCCTCATCTCTCACTTTCTAAGAGAGCATGGTAACCACCTGGTTATATAATAATCCCTTCTGTTGTAGCTTGTTTACTGTGTAACTAAGAATGCAAGGTCATGAGGTCAAGAGAACAGTGAATTTGTTGCGGAGTCTGACTTTATGGAGTCAGAGGTCCCACCACTCCCTGGTGACTGAAGCCCAGTCTTCTTTTGAGAGTTACCTTCTAGTTCAAGAGGTCAGGGAGCCCCATCTAAGTGGTGCCAGTACTCTGATATCATCTTATCTATTATAATGCTTGTCATGCCCGGGTGCATGTCACACAAATCAATAATATTATCATAGTCTTTAGGGGACTTCATAGAATTGCTCTTCTCACTTTATAGGGTGAAAACAGTGAAAAGACAAGAAAGTTTGATTTCTTAATATTTTTTGTAAGGTTTAGTAATTTTTTTTCTCTATGGGGGAATGGTTGTGTCAAGTTATGGCTTTTTAGTTCTTGTTCATTGAAGGGGATGCCAATGCTACAACTCTTGCTCCTATTAGAGAAAGCCTTTTTCTGATTTTTTTAAAGTCATTTTTTTCATCAAGGCCACTAAGCAATTCAGGAGTTGGAAGAAAAGTTGCTGTAGAACATGGAATGGATGTGAGTAACAGCAACTGAATGCAAAATTCTCCTTCTGTTTACGTATAGCACCATTCAGTTGTATTTGTTTTTTATTATTCCAAAAGCAGGCTGGATTTGATCCCCTTGGTACAATCTTAGTCCTGTCTGCCAAAAAGGGGGAAAATGAGTTAGATGTTTTCTATTTTAACCACATTAGTTAATGAGAGAACTGGAATGGCATCATGTGTTGGCATGTGGGAGACTTTTATGAGTCAGAGAATGAAACACCTGGCAAGCAAAAAAAGTTAGAAAAAAAGGCATAGAAAAAGCTTCTTCAAAAAGCTTTGGCTCAGATTATTTGGAAATGAGAGCTCAGAGGACTGGGCATCATCATCTTTAAGCTGCTAGAAAGCTTACAGAGCTCTCTGAGGGAAATAAGTTACCAAGCTGGGAAATATCACTGACAATACATCAGCCATTTTTCTTCTCTGGCTTCCCTCTTCCGCTCCCCGCTTCCTATGATTTAAAATGAGCAATGATTAGCCTGGCCATCTTGAAGGGTGATTTCCCTATAGAGAAGGCAAGCTACAATATTTAAATATAGTGTATAAAATGATCATGAGCCAAGCGTTACCTTTTATGGCTGGAAAAGTAGGAAACACAAGAGACTCATGATTCCACTTTAAAAGTTGTGCTAATAGCCAGATTGGCTGGTGTCAGTGTATGCTGGAGCCAGACTCCAATGTTTTTTCTGTTGTAAAAAAAGAAATCACAAGAGACATTATTTTTAGTTGTCATAACCAGGTGTTTGTTACTTGATCTGCTTCCAGTAGTGGGTGGAATCGTGTATCTTTATTTTTTCCTTGTGAATTCATTCTCCATAAGAATGTAACCTTTTATGTTGATGCTTTATAAAAAGCTTTGAGAAATATTTGCAACAACTTTTAGCTGACCATTAGTCAGATTGGTCAAATTATAGTTTGAACTATATTTTGTGGACTATTTTATTTGATAACAACTCCTGCTACCCTGGTGACATGTACAAGCAGAAAAGATCTGGAAACCCAAGAATTGCGATACTGGATCAGACTAAAGATCCACATAGCCTATATCCATTCTCCAAGATTTTCCAGTATTTAATTAAAGTAAATCTAACCAACAATTAAAACTCGGGCTCCCTCCTATGTTATCAGTGTAATATGAGTCTTGGAAGTTCAAATACACATCATGTCCCAATAGAAAAGCAAGGGCAACACTGGAGAAAGTTAAAATGATGTGTGTTTGCCTATGTTTGTCAAATATAACTCCTGGCAAATAATGAATAGATTTGATTGCAGGATACTGGTCTAGAGACTAATTTCTGTAAATCATATATCTGTACTGATAGAGCTGTGCTGGCTGTCACCAGCTGAGGATGTGGCCATGTAATGAGGACAGGGATGGGCCATGGTAAAGCTCTGAATAAAGTGCACAAAAAGAAATCCCAGTATTAAGTAATTTTATATTCATTTTTTTACTCTCATAAGATTTTCATTTGCTTTTCTATTATGCTAAAAATCTGTGGTTCTATTTAAAATTAAAAACAAAAAAACAGAAGCATCACTTTGGGCCTCATTTTGTGCTGCCTTGAACTTGACCATTTACATCTGCACAAAGTAACTGTAAAAGGCTATAATGCTGATTTGGAAGCTTTTTTAAATCTCTTCTACCAGATATAAATGATAGTAGAGAGGATGAGGCACAGAGACTCATGGTAGAACCACTGCCAAACATTGGTTCTCTATTTCATGGTGATGGTACCCAATAGAAGTGAATACATTCTTTGGGGGAAAAGAGTATAGAATGAGTATTGCATGTTGAATATCGCCGTGAGAGGCATTGTTCATAATAGAACTAGTTGATAGAAGCAGTCAGATAAAACTGGGGTTTTATTTTTGCTGCAACTTGGAAGGATACACTAGAAATAAATAACTTTATTTCAACAAGGGGAGGATTAAAGTATATGTACAATTCTGTGCCTTGTTTGTAGATGTAATTACTGCAACGGCACATGAAAAACAGGATAAAAAGACAATTCTTTTTCACATACTAAGATCCAAAATGCTCATTAAATTGGAGCAATTTTCTATATACTGCAGCAATATAATCCCATGTACAAAAGAGTAGCTTTGGATTTCTGAAAAGTCTGTCCAAAATATTTTGTTTACAATAACCAATCACTTTAATGTAATTTTTATAGTCATTTGATACTACTTAGAATGCAAGTGAAACTAGAAGATGTAATAATGACAAACAGGAAAACAACTGTAAATGTGAACCAGTAATATGTATGTTGAGCACAATTTGACCCTTGGTTTGGAGGAGCCTGAACAAATAACGCATAAAGAATTTTACAAGACTCTGAAGGTAACTGGTACTAAGTGATGTATAAAACACTTAACCATTATTAGCTTTGTAAGATAGATTTTTTAAAATTCTGTATTGTAAACCAAAGATATCATGTACCTCACCATCTGCTAACTGCTATCATTCATTCCTTGCAAGCCTTTACAGATATTTCTTCACTTGCAGACATATGACAAAATGCTGTTAGGAATAGTCTCAGCAAATATGGAACTCATTTTTCACAGAGTTTGAGGAAAAGTTAATTAAAGAACCACCTGGGAGAAAATAAGTAAGGCAGAAAATGCTGTGTTAGCATGCAGGCTGGAGACTAAAGAAAGGTTATCATATTTGCATTCTAAAGAACCAAAAAAAAATCAAAATTCTTTCATTCAGAAACCTGCCTTCAAGCCTGATTTGTTAATATGGGTAAAATTTGAAGAAGTATCTGAGGGACTTATGAGACTAAAATCCATTTCCAAAAGTGTTTTAGGCACTTGGACCCTGATCCTCAAAGGTAGAAAAGGCTAAGGGTAGCTAAGAGTTGATTGCTTCCAGTGGGAGTTTGGTGCTTAAAATCTATGCAGGATCTGGATGTTATCGAAAGTAATGGATAAAGGTATCAATGGATGCATTGAGGTTCCAAAGCACGGTGCAGTAATCACTCATACTGTGCCATGCATGTAGCTCATGGTTAGTTTTAACCATTACTTTGCTAAAACTGGAGAGCTTGCTACTATGGCAAAATAACTGCCACTCGTGTAGATTCATGTGATCACTACATCGCTTAGTGCATCATATGGCCATTTAGTGCGTTGCTATGGCAGCATAGGGTGATGTGTAGACGTTCCCAATATGTACATTTTATAGCACTTAGACTGCCTGCCAGAAGATATGCACCTGAACATCCTAAGCCAGTGATTCTTGACCAGGGTGTTGGGGCACTGTAACAGGGGATCCCTTCCCCCTCTTACTTGGAACAAGTAAAGCTTGCAAGGTAGGAGCTGTGCTATGTACATCTGCTTCCAAGTGGTTTTCAGGGCTCAGCCTACAGATTTCAGGCAACAGAATGCTTGGCTGCTAAACAGGGGATGAACAGCACCTGGACCTTAGCAACAACAAGCCAGGTAAAATGATAGGAAGGGGCAGAAACAAGGGGCAAATAAGTCTGAGCCTGTAGCCCAAGACTTAGACCCTAACTATAGAAACAGCTCTACAGGTGGGCTACATATGAGAAGATAAGTTCTATGGCTGGCTTCTGTTATTGTTTGGGGTTGGTGTTAAACCAGATGACTGGATTGTGGTTGTAAGGGAGGAAGAAGCCACTTCGCAGGGAGCCTGGGGTGCCCTGGGTTCTAGGACTTTCAAAGGGTCAGGTACAGTAAGCTGGGCTAAGAACAGGTGTGAACTCAGGGAGGACTGGAGGGTTAGGTGCCCTAAAGGGTGCCCAGTCTGGAAATAAAAGGAGAAGAAAGCCTAGAAGGCAAGCTTTCCAAAAGGTAGCTAGTCTGGGACTGGGAGGAGGAAGAGTCCTCAAGGGACCTAAAGGGGCCTGTGGCAGAATCTGAGGATCTCCAGGCAGAGGTTGAACTGAGGTCAAGGAGCCAATACCCAAATGGGTGACCTGAGATAGAAGGGGTCACAGAGGGGAAGTGCCCCAGAGACAGTACAGGTTGTGAGTGGCTAAGGTTTAGACAGAGCCCTTCCAAGTTTGGGGATCCAGGGGTCAGCTAGGGCTAAAGCTCAAGGAGAGGGGCCAAAGCCCGGAGAATCTAGCAGACCTAGACAAATGGGAAAGAGAGGCTGAACTAGGGGACCCCAGACAGGAGAAAGAGAGAGAGCCCTGCTACCATTAGGGATGAGCTGACTGGCATCCTAATGATAAGCAGGGTAGGGGAAAGCAGAAAAAGCCAGACTCTGGGGATCTGAAGGCAGTCTCCTCAAATGTATTATCTTTTGACATCAAGGCATGGCAGACAAGAGAGGAGGAGGCCCAGAAGGAGGAGGGAGCCAGAGTTAGAGAACAGGCATAGGATGGCTCCAAGGGAATGCTGCAGCCACCCTGTGAGGCAGAGCCCATTACAGGCACCCTGCATGCCATGAGAGCTTTCAAAGGGTGTCATAAGGTGTGACTAAATAAGCAGGTGTAAAGATACAAGTTTAAGCTCAGACTTGTCCCTGCCTAGCTGCAGCCCTGCCCCCACTGCCTCATCCCTCTGTAATGAAGTAAATAGCATAATATGTTAATTTGTTTTTGAAATGGGATGCTTCTCAATTAGTAAAAGTTATGGGGGGGGGGGTGTCTCAAGTCTAAAACATTGAGAAGTGCTGTCCTAAGCACTTCTTTCTTCTCAAAAGATGGCTTGACTCTTGCTAAGAGTCATCATGATCAGTGAT